TATATATATATATATATATATATATATTGTTTAATCTTGTGAATAGCAGCCACTTTAGTGTAGAAATGACTTTATTTTTCAATATTAAGGATACTAGAAATATAATTACATATTTGTCCCTGATTTAATAAGATGTTTGAGATTATTTTGGTACGTTATTATATTTATAATAAGTTTTGACAACTTCTTATATTCATAGCCGATTATGACATATTTTCGTATTTGTAACAACTTGAATAGGGGCACTTGATGAGTTGGCAACATTATCGTTCGGTCAGATGAAGCGCTCTGATCGACCTAAAGATGTTTGGTCGACCCTGTCAGAGGAAATTTTGAGAAGAGGCGCTCACATCGTTAGGATAAACTGGGTTATTAGGCAGAGGGTGTATTATCGTAATATAATGGGCAGCCATCCTTGAACATTGAGCCTTCTAAGAGGGTTAGAGAAATATTCCATGAATGGTCATTTGTCCATTTTGTGAGGAGCTCCGGAATCTCTTAGCAGAGCTGGTGATAAACAACTGTCTCTTCGATTGAGTTTCTTTTATCTTTCATTCTAATATCCTTCCATTTGGTTAGCTCAAAATTTCAACCAAAAAATATAACGCTTAATATTTTTGTCTTCTTACTATCCCAACACAATGTCCTTCGATTTGTCAGTGGGACTCGTTGGATTTCTTCAAGATTTGTGATGACACATTGTGTGTGTGTGTGTCTTACTCTTACTCTTATGAAATGTTAATGTTATATGTTGCACAAATCAATCTCCACGTGCAATTGTTTATTAAGCTAAATTTTCTGCTATTAGATTCATTTTTATTACATGCTTCACTTTTTTGTTTGCTTGAAATTTTTCTTATAACATGCATAGCATATAGTCCTTTTTTTTTTTTTTGAGAATGGAGACGGGGGCTGGGTGATAGAGGATTGAGAGCAAAATAAGGATGTGGTTGGCGGAGGAAAAAGGTTTCTCTCTAAGGAGAGAGGAAAGACAATTGTGTCGGTGTTGTAACGGTCTTTTGTTTTTATCCATATATTTGTGTGTGAGTGTGTGTTTATTGTTTAATCTTGTGAATTAGAAAACAGAGAGAGAGTAAGAGAAAGAATGTACAGTAAATATAAAAGTTTATACATATCATCAATTAGCAGTCTCTTTAGTGTAGAAATGACTTCTTATTTGACACTCGATGTATAATTACATTTTGTCCCTATTTTAATAAGATGTTAGATTATTTTGGCACATTATTATATTCATAACTGATTTTAAAAACTTTTATATTCATATCAAATTCTGACACATTTTTATATTTGTAACAACTTGAATAGAGACACCCGATGAGTTGACAACCTTATCATTCGGTCCGATGAAGGGCTCTGGTCAACCGAAAGATGTTAGGTCCAACTTTTAGAGGAAATTTTGAGAAGAGACACTTTCATCGCAGGGATAAACTGGTTTATTGGGAAGAGGGTGTATCATCGTAATATAAACAATGAGCCTTCTCAGATGATCAGAGAAATATTATAAACAATGAGCCTTCTCAGAGGATCAGAGAAATATTCCTTGAGTAGTCCTTTGTCCATTTTGTGAGGAGCTCTGGAATCGCTTAGGAGAGTTGTGGTAAACATCTGTCTACCAGATTGAGTTTCTTTTATCTTTCATTTGAATATCCTTCCATTTGGTTGACTCAAAATTCCAACCAAAGAAAACAACACTTAATATTTCCGTCTTTTGACTATCCTACTACAATGTCCTTTGATTAGTCAGTGAGACCCGTTGGATTTCTTCGAGATTTATGATGACACATTTTGTGTCTGTGTTTGTGCATGTGCACATGTGTTTTACTCTTATGAAATGTTATATGTTACACAAGTTATTTTGATATCAAAAGCTTTATGTAAAAAGTTATATGTTGCACGAGTCAATCTCCATGTGTAATTATTTATTTAGCTATTTTTTTTGCAATTATATTCCTTCTTAGTACATGCTACATTTTTTCTTTTATTGTAATTTTTCTTATAACATTGATAACATAGAAAACAATTTTGCTTTTCTGAGAATGGAGAGGGAGTGGGTGAAGGAGTATTGAGAGGAAAAGAAGCATGTGGTTGGCGGAGGATGAAGGTTTCCCTCTAAGGAGAGAGAAAAGCAGCTTTGTCGGTGTTGTAACGGTTTTTTTTTTTCCGTGTGTGTGTGTGTGAGTGAGTGTGCGTGTGTGTGTGTGTGCGCGTTTGTGCGTGTGTGTGTGCGCCTATGTGCATTGTTTATTCTTGTGAATCAGAAAACATAGAAAGAGTAAGAGAGAGAATGTACGTAAATGCAAAAGTTTACATATATGATCAATTAGTAGCCTCTTTAGTGTAGACAAGACTTCTTATTTAGAAATATTGAGGATATTCGACGTATAATTACATGTTTATCCCTATTTTAATAAGATGTTACAGATTATTTTGGCACATTATTATATTCATAATCGATTTTAACAACTTTTATATTCATAGCCGATTCTAACACAATTTCGTATGTATAACAACTTGATAAGGGGTACCCGATGAGTTGACAACATTTTCGTCCAGTCGGATGAAGGGCTTTGGATGACCGGAAGACGTTTGATAAAATCTTTCAGAGGAAATTTTGAGAAGAGACACTCCCATCATCAGGATAAACTGGGCTATTAAACAGAGGGTGTATTATCGTGACATAACGGGCAGCCCTTCTTGAACAATGAGCCTTCTCAAAGGGTCAGAGAAATATTCTACAAGTGGTCCTTTGTCCATTTTGTGAGGAGCTGGGAAATCGCTTAGGAGAGCTGGTGGTAATAACTATCTCCTAGATTGAGTTTCTTTTTTCTTTCATTCAAATATCTTTCCATTTGGTCGGCTCAAAATTCCAACCATAGACAACAACGCTTATTGTTTTCGTCTTTCATATATCTCAATACAATGTTCTTTGATTTGTAAGTGGGATCCATTGGATTTCTTCGAGATTTGTGATGACACATTGTGTGTGTGTGTGTGTGTGTTTTACTCTTATGAAATGTTATATGTTGCACGAGTCAATCTCTATGTGCTATTGTTCATTAAGCTAAATTTTCTTCTATTAGATTCCTTCTTATCTGCTACACTTTTTTCTTTTATTGTAATTTTTCTTATAACATGCATAGCATAGAGAATAATTTTTTTAAGAATTGTGGGGGTGGGTAAAGGAGGATTGAGAGGAAAGGAAGGATGTGGTTGGCAGTAGAGGAAGGTTTCTCTCTCTAAGGAGAGTGGATAGACAGTTGTGTCGGTCTTGTAACGGTCTTTTGTTTATATTCATGTGTGTGTGTGTGTGTTGTTTAATCTTGTGAATCAGAAAACAGAGGAGTAAGAGAGAGAATGTACGTAAATGCAAAAGTTTGAAAAGTCTTCTTCTTTTTAAATATTGGGGATACTCGATGTATATTTACATATTTATCCATATTTTAATAAGATGTGACATTATTTTCTCACATTATTGTATTCATAACTGATTTTAACAAATTTTATAGTCATAGCCGATTCTGACAAAATTTTGTATTTGTAATAACTTGAATAGGGGCACACGATGAATTGACAACCTTATCGTCTGGTCGGATGAAGGCTCTGGTCGACCGAAAGATGTTTTGTCGAATCTTTTAGAGAAAATTTTGAGAAGATGCACTCCCATTGTCAGGATAAACTGGGTTCTTAGACAAATGGTGTATCATCATAATATAACAAGTCATCTCAGAGGGACTGAGAAATATTCCAAAAGTGGTCCTTTGTCCATTTTATGAGGAGCTCTGGAATCACTTAGGAGAGCTGGTTGTAAACAACTATCTCCCGGTTTGAGTTTCTTTTATCTTTCATTCGAATATCTTTCCATTTGGTCGGCTAAAAAATCCAACCATAGAAAACAACGCTTAATGTTTTCATCTTTTGATTATCCTAATACAATGTCCTTTGATTTATCAGTGAGACTCTTTGAATTTCTTCGAGATTTGTGATGACACATTTTGTGTGTGTGTGTCTTACTCTTATGAAATGTTATATGTCGCACGAGTCAATCTCCAATGTGCTATTGTTCATTAAGTTAAATTTTCTGCTATTAGATTCCTTCTTATTATATGCTACACTTTTTTCTTTTATTATAATTTTTCTTATAACATGCATAGTATAGAGAATATGTTTTTAGAAAGGAGAGGGAGGTGGGTGAAGGAGGATTGAGAGGAAAAGAAGGCTGTGATTGGCAAAGGAGGAAGATTTCTCTCTCTAAGGAGAGAGAAAAGACAGTTGTGTCGGTGTTGCAATGGTCTTTTGTTTTTATCCATATGTGGGTGTGTGTGTGTGTTGTTTAATCCTGTGAATTAGAAAACAGAGAAAGAGTAAGAGAGATAATTTATGTAAATGCAAAAGCTTATATATATAATCAATTGGTAGCCTCTTAGTGTATAAAAGTCATCTTATTTTAAATATTGAGGATACTCGACGTATAATTACATGTTTAATCCTATTTTAATAAGATATTAGAGATTATTTTGGCATTATATTCATAGCCAATTTTGACAACTTTTATATTTATAGCCGATTTTGTCATGTTTTTGTATTTGTAACAACTTGAATAGGGCTACCCGATGAGTTGACACCTTATCGTTCAGTCTGATGAAGGGCTCTAATCGACAGGAAGATGTTTGGTTGACCCTTTTAGATGAAATTTCGAGAAGAGGCACCCTCATTGTCGGGATAAGTTGGATTATTAGGTAGAGGGTGTATCATTGTAATATAAAGAGCAGCCTTTAGTGAGAAAAGTCTTCTTATTTTAAATACTGAGGATACTCGATGTATAATTACATGTTTGACCCTATTTCAATAAGATGCTAGAGATTATTTTGGCAAATTATTATATTCATAACCAATTTTAACAATTTTTATATTCTTAATCGATTCTATCACAATTTTGTATTTGTAACAGCTTGAATAGGGGCACCCAATGAGTTGACAATCTTGTCATTCGATCTGATGAAGTGCCATGGTCAACTGGAAGATGTTTGGTCGACCCTTTCAGAGGAAATATTGAGAAGAGGCACCCCAATCGTCGGGATAAGTTGGGTTATTAGGGAGAAGGTGGATCATCGTAATATAAAGAGCAACCCTCCTTGAACAATGAACCTTCTTAGAGGGTCAGGGAAACATTCCACAAGTGGTCCTTTGTCTATTTTGTGAGGAGCTCCGGAATCTCTTAGGAGATTTAGTGGTAAACAAGTTTCTCCTAGATTGAGTTACCTTTACCTTTCATTCAAATATCCTTCTGTTTGGTCGGCTCAAAATTCCAACTAAAGAAACAACGCTTAATGTTTCAGTCTTCCAACTATCCCAATACAATGTCCTTTGATCTGTTAATGGAACCCGTTGAATTTCCTCAAGATTTGTGATGACATTTTGTGCGTGCATCTGTGTGTCTTAATGTTGATTGATTTCTTATAAAAATATTATATATTGTACGAGTCAATCTCCATGTGCTATTGTTTATTAAGCTAAATTCTCCGGCATTTAATTCCTAATTACATGCTACACTTTTTTTCTTTCCTTGTAATTTTTCTTATAACCTGCATAGAAATGATAATTGTATATTTTTTTAGAAAAATGATTTCAGGGAAATTTAGATGCATACAACACAATCCTGTCATATTTACATATCTAAAAATTTGATATTTATATTTATAACACTATGATATTATGTACATAAGCATGAAAATATGTCATTTACTTTTAAAAGGGGGCATTTACATATATACCACCCAATTTCATTGTATTTACATACCTAATGCCTTTACTTTTTTACATTTTAATGAGGCAATTACATACAGACCACTTGAAACTTACTATTTACATATCAACCACCCACTTTAATCTTTTTTTTCAAATGCTCGCTCAAATATCAAAATTCATGGTAAAACCCTAAACCCATATTTTTCATTTTTTATCAAATTTTCAATAGTTTGACCGCGTAAATATATTGGCTTGATTGTTACAAAAATCAACTGTGGTTAATTTGTAAATATCAATGTATATATATATATATAATTTGGAACATAAAAGTATCAATGAATGATCGTCGTTTTTCAGAGTCATCGCCAGCACATATGCCGGGCACCTTCATCCAATTGGCGGCCACCTAGGCCGGCCACAATTACTCAGCCAACTGACCAACCCTGTCGGTCGGCCATATAACCTTCAACCGATGAGCCACGTAGGTCGGCCATGACTTGCAGGTCGGCCAACTTGGCTGACCACATAACTTTCAACCAGCTGGCCATCACCTATCGGTCGGCTGCCTGAGGTGGCCATAGAATCTTGAACCGGCTGACCACTTGGGCCAGCCCGCCTCCAATCAATCAGTCGTCTAAGCCGACAACCGGGCTAGTCCAGTAGCGAGAAAACTCCAGGAAGTGGGATTTCAAGCAAGGCAAGAACCAAGATACCCCATGCAACTCCCCCTTGAATCAAGGGCATAAACATAATATATTTTTTCTCTTTCTCTCTCTATAAATAGAGTACACCTAGCATGTACAAAGGGATTCCTAAGCTCTCTCTCTCACTCCCATATAGGCAGCCCGCTACCATTCTTCACTCTCTTGTAACCACAATAATAAGAGTCAAAGAACCCGAGAACATCCCTTTTGCCCCCGATAGGACTAGTCCCTCTCTTCTCCCTCCTTTAAATTCCGCACTCCATTGTTTAGGCACGGTCCAAATGATAGAGTTGGATTCAACACAATTAAAAGAGAAAAAAAAAACATACAATATGTATACTTAAATAGAGCTTAAAAAGTAAAAGATGACGACATTTTAAAATATTCATGCTAAGTTTCAAATATTACAAGATAAGCTTTTAATTTTAGGAGAATTTGCATACATACCACTCCATTCATATGTATCTATATCGCCTAAACTTTACTTCTTACATTTATAACAACCAAACCTTTCATATTACATAAAAATAAAACCACCATTTTAGTTTTTGAAACGTTAAACACACACTCTCTCCATACATAGGCACAGTAGTATGAATGTAAAAAATTGAAGTTCAAATATTAGATATATAAAATACATAGAAATTGAGGGCATGTGAATCTTTCTTAATTTTAAGTCCATATCAAGGCTTAATAATGCTTAGCATTTAAACACATGGAAGAAGAGAGAGAGAGTAGAAATGGCATTTTAAACCAATTGCAATAAGGAGGGAGGGAGGGAGGGAGATGGCATTTTCAACCAAGTGCAAAAGAGTAGAGAGAGAGAGAGAGAAAGAGTAGAAATGGCATTTTAGACCCATTGCAATAAGGAGGGAGGGAGGGAGGGAGATGGCATTTTCAACCAAGTGCAAAAGAGTAGAGAGAGAAAGGGAGTAGAAATGGCATTTTAGACCAATAGCAATAAGGAGGGAGGGAGGGAGGGAGATGGCATTTTCAAACAAGTGCAAGAGAGAGAGAGAGAGAGAGAGAGCGAGAGATGGCATATTGGACCATTTGCAATAGGAAAAAAAAAATCTCTAAATGGCAGAGCAAATATTGGTCTTACAATGTTGATTTGAATGTAATAATAACAATTCTTGTGCTTTGCTATTCAGATTGAAAACTCAAATTCCATATCTGGTACAAAATCAGGGATTAGCGCTGGCACCATATTATTGCAGAGACAGGAAATTAAACCGACAAAAAGTGCTACAAATACTTAATAACAAAAGCTTTATTTAACACACTAACCCCATTCATGCAATCTCATTCTCGTACACCTCAATTGCGTACTTCCAGTTAATAACGCTCCATATGTTCTTCAGATAATCCGGTCTCACATTTTTATACTGCCAAAACAATTCATAGAAAATATATTCAGGTAATTGATTAGCCATGCATTCATTAATTCAGCATAAAAAAAAGGGGGCGATTAAATACGCACCACCCCAAACTTGCTCTTTACAAATTAATCATCCTCTTTCGTCCATTTTTCAAATTCTTGCTCACAAATATCAAACTTTTCTTTTACAAATAAATCTATTTGGTCGTTCAAAAAATATCACCTGAGTGTCTAATTTGTAAATATCAATGTTTCGGATGGTCAGTATCTAGTTATCACCACAACAACAACAACAACAAAATAAACTGAAGCAAACATCACAAAGTTAGGAAAGGCCATGATAGTGTAAAATGTTTTTTTTTTATATATAAAAAAAAGGGACGGTATTTGAGAAAACCGCTCCTCATATGTGTTTTCTGTCCCCGTAGAGAACGAACCCGGGTCAGAGGGGCTTTACGACTGACAAAGCAACTGCCTACCAACATGCCACCCAAAGGCGCATGTGTAAAATGCTATTTAAATACATAAACATGATCAATTCCCTATCACTAACAGCTTCAAATATTCTATCACCACCACAACAACAACAAAAAAAACTGAAGCAAACATCACAAAGTTAGGAAAGGCCATGATAGTGTAAAATGTTTTTTTTTTTTTATATATAAAAAAAAGGGACGGTATTTGAGAATACCGCTCCTCATATGTGTTTTATGTCCCCATAGAGAACGAACCCAGGCCAGAGGGGTTTTACGACTGACAAAGCAACTGCCTACCAACCCAAAGGTGCATGTGTAAAATGCTATTTAAATACATAAAGATGATCAATTCCCTATCACTAACAGCTTCAAATATTTTAAATAATTCAAAAGATATATATATATATATATATATTTATATTTGTTCCGTCAGTCATGACCAGTTGCTAGAGTAGCCTCTTTAGAAGTCACAAGTCCCCTCAGGTCACGGGTTCGAATCCCCCTTTGGTCAATTTATCTGTAGTGAAGGTGGTCCTCAAATAGTTAAGCACATAAGGGTGGCTGGGGGGTCTATAATAGCCTTTAGCCGTTCTTTACAACATAGATATATATATATATATATAACCTTTCCTATGCATGAAAGGTGTCTGATTTTTTAAAGTTAAAAAAGCGGTAAAAAAACGGTATTTTTCAAGTGATATAAAAGATTGGGGTGTGATATAGATGTAAAAGAAAAGTTTAGGTGTTAAATAGGTAAATACATAGGAATTTTGTGGTATTTATGTAAATCTTACTACAATTTATTATATATTTAAGAATTTATTTCACTAATGTATGTAAATTATGAAGATTATTAAATCACAGTTACTGAACTCCACAAAATTCCGGAGTTCCTATTTTATTAATCATATGCTAAAATTGCTTCCATATTGTCACTCAATATATCATAAAATTATATAATCAAGATCATGACTCATTCATCTGAATATCTAGCAATACATTTATACTAATTTTACAGAAATTAAATAAAAAGAGAACTATAAAGCATGCAAAATAAGTACATTAAGTAAAAAAAGCTCATTAAATCGAAATTGCATATTTACCTGCAGGTAGTAAGCATGTTCCCAAACATCAATTCCGAGCAGAGGAACGTAGTTCGCCCCCTTCGTAACAAGCGGATCCTGGCAAAAAAATAGTTGAATAATAAATCAACTGCATTCAAGGTTTTCATCGAAGACAAATATTGAGAAGCAATAAAAAATTTTCACTGTGGCAGTTGGAAAGTCAGTCATATATTTGCTTATAGATGGTATCAAAGCTATCAAAGCAAAAGATCATCCATCTATTGAAGAATAATGGAGAGAATTGTAATTTCTTCTCCTTATATGATAAGGAACTGCTAGGGCAAAAATTAATGAAAAATTATAACTTATCAAAAAAAAAAAACAAAAAAAAAAAAACTCAAAAAGGAAAGAAATATGACATAATAAAGAGGGAATAAAACTAAAATAGAAAAATCAGAATTTCACACTCCCCTTCAAGCTAGGTCATAGACGTAAAGACCCAGCTTGATATTCAGATCAATGAAGCTACCTCGAGGTGGAGATTCAGTAAAGATATCAACGACTTGAAGATGAACTAAATGTAGATTAAATGAATAAGGCCTACACTAATCTTTTCAAAGATAAAATGTCTATCAATCACAATGTGTTTGGTACTGTCATGGTGCGCAGGATTCTTTGCAATACTAATTGTGGCTTGGCTGTCACAGACATCTTCATAGGATTAACCATAGAATATCCCAAATCATTCAGTAATATTTGGATCCACATTCTTACACAAATTCCCAAAGCAAGTGTCTGATGCTCAAATTCTGCACTACTCCTAGAGACCATTGCTTGATTCTAGTTTCTCCAAGTGACAGAATTTCCCAAGACATAGAAACAATACCTAGAAGTGGACATTTTGTCTGTGAGTTCTCCTGCCCAACTAGCATCAATATAAACTTTCACCTCTTTGTTATTTGATTTCTTAAATAATAACCCTCTGCTAGGGGTCTTCTTAAGAAATAACAATATTTTATAAACTATCTTTAAATGTTCTAAATTTAAACTATTCATACGTTGATTCGTAATGTCGAAAGAGCAAGGAATATCCAGTTTAGTGTATGATAGGTAGATGATCTTACCCACCAATCTCTAGTATCTATCCTTTTGCACCGGTATCTTTTCTCCCTGCAAGTAACTTTTGTTGAAATATATAAGAGTCTCAGCAGGTTTGCACTACAACCTTCTTTGCCTCCCCCAGTATGCTTTATGAGCAATGTGTGATCCGCTTGACATTGGATGCAGCCATTTGATTCCATCATCTTGACAAACTTATCGAACTAAGACTTTGAAGATTGCTTGAAGCCATAAAGTGAATTTCTTAATTTACAAACCAGATGTTTATTTGTGTCATTTTCTAATCCTGGTGGAGCTTTCATATGCACTTCTTCCTCAAAATTTTCATTCAAAAACACAATCTTGATATCAAGTTGAGGTAGTTCTCACTTTATGTTCACTACTAAGAAAAGAACTCTTATAGTGTTTAATTAGGCTATTGGAGCAAAGGCTTCTTGATAGTATATCCTATAAGGCTGAGTGAACCCTTTCGCCACTAACCCAACCTTGAATCTCAATGCTCCCATTTGTTTTGTACTTGGCGTTAAACACTCATTTGCACCAAATAGATCTTCTATCTGAAGGAAAGTTGGCAAAGATTCATGTGTCAATTAGTTCAAGAGCATGGATCTCCTCTTCAACTGACTTTTTCCATTCTGGGCTTTAAAGTGTTTCATGAGCAAATTCGGATATCTGGAGACTCAAATTAGATACAAAAGCTTTATAAGTTCATGGTAACTTCTAATATGCACATAATCTTGGATATGATAATTTGTGCAACTTTCTGTATCTTCTCCACCTGATTTTATCTCCCTTGGAACTTCAAAGATGTGTGAATTCAAGTCTGGTTGTGAACAATCATGTGGTTGCATTTTATATTTTATCCTACTCGGTGGATTTCTTTCTTCTAGTATACACATAAAGTTCCTTAATGTCAATCTCAACTTGAATGAACTAAATTGATGGAACTTAGGAGACATGATATTTAGAGGGAAGTAGAATATGGTGTGATGACTCTAGATCAATGTGAGTATCCAAAGTAACGTAGAGAAGTGAAATAAAGTGTGATGCCTCCAGAGTTGTGCCTCAAGCCTGATATTCACCCGGACACTCCCCCTAAATATTAGATATGAAGTAGTAAGGTTGATTTCAAAGAAGAAAACATCCATGAAGTTCTAATCTTTTCTTGTAATGGGAAAATAGCACTTGTACCCCGTTTTATTAGAAGCATATACAAGGAAAATACATTTGCTGGATTTTGGGTCAAGCTTTTTGTGATTTGGTTGGTGAATGTATAAAAGAGACATCAAAATATTTTTAGGGAAGATTGGATTAGAAAGCTATAACAAGAGGAAAATTTTCCATCACAATATCGAGAGGGACTTCGAATCCAAGGACATTATTTTGCATTATCGTAATGAACTAGATGGTTGCGAGCACGACGTCTCCCCAAAATACTTTTGAGATATAGAGGATAATATGACCTAAATACCTCAAGAAGGTGTATATTCTTCCTCAAGTTATCTCATTTTATTGTGAAGTTTCAACGTAGGGATTCACATGGATGACACCATTATTTGCAAGGTACGACCTATGGATAAAGTCAAAGTATTCCGTTGCATTATCAGTTTTGAGAATCTAGATTTTGCATTAGAATTGAGTAGAAATCATGTGATAGAATGACTAAAAAATTTGTGTAGTTTTATATTTTTCTTTCATGAAGTCTATTCAATTAGCTCTGATGTGTTCATCGATAGAGAAGACAAACCATCTAACTCCATTGATGAATTTCAATTTGATGGTTCCAAAATTTCATTGTGGATTATAGAGAAATATTGTGAGTTGTACCAAGACAAATGGTGGACATGATGAATATATTTAGCCAACCGACAAGTTTCACACTGATAAAACTCTGATTTTTTATTCATAAAAAGATGATGACCAAGATGACAATGTCATAACAAAACCTGACTTTCAACAGATTCAGACACAAAAGACTTAGGAACATAGGAAAAGAATTGTGAAGGAGCGTTAAGGGAATAGCTTTTTCTTGAGTAAATATAAATTTTGATGCAATTCAACATTGTCAATTTCCTTCCTCAAATCTAACACCTGAAAGTCATAGGTAAAATGAAATTTAGTACCATAGTTCAAGTTATGAGAAAGTTTGCTAATTGAATGTTAGTTGCAATCTAATTGGGAAACATATAGCACAAAAGAGAGACGAATAATTTTGAAATTTTCACGTCTCCTTTCCTAACAATCCTGGAGTTAGACACATAGGTAAGTCCAACAAATTTAAAGTTTGTTAACTTTTGATAGTTGACGAGAGCATGAATATCTCCAGCCATGTGATCAGAAATACCTGAATCTATTATCTAAGGATAAAATCTTCCATTATTAGCGAGATAGAAGGACATGATATCTTGGTGTATCATCAAGTTGGTAGGCTTCTTAGTTGTGCTTAAAAAAAGCTTCTTCAACTCCTCCAATTGTTCCTTGATAAAGGGGCTAGAGTCGGTTGACCCTTCAGCAGAGGTAGCACGATGGGCCTTACGGTCTTGGTCTTTCCTCCCTTCCCTTGATTTCCAATATGCAGGTTTTCCATGTATTTTTTAGCACTTGTCCTTTGTATGACCAAATTTCTAGCAATGTTCACACAAGAAACTATTCTTCTTATGTCTTCAACTCATGGGAAGAGTTTTGTGTGTACAAGGAGAACCTTTTAGAACTAGATGAATCCATACTTCCTCCCATCATGAGTTTTTTCATCTTTTCTTCTCTTCTGATTTCAACAAAGGACTCCCTGGTGGTAGGGAGAGGCTTCATTCGCATAATTCTTCATATGACCTCATCAAAATTCCTATTTAGACCAAATAGGAATTTATTCATCCTCTTCTTCTCTAATATTATTTTGTACACCAAATTATCTTGAGGACACTATCTTACATAAACATCATACACATCTAACTGTAACCAATACTTTGTATGTGTGTTGAAGTATTGAACCACACTCAATTCTTCTTGTCGGAGTTCATGCAGTTTTGTCTCAATCTTAAACAATTTTGTAGTGTTTTTAATACTTGAACAAGTCTCACAAGCTGTTTCCTAAACATTCAATGTTGTCAAATACAACAACGACAACAACAAGCCTTCTATGTTGCCTTATAAAACAAGAAATTTTCTACTATCTCTGGGGTCAAAAAATTGATCAACTAAAACATGACCATATCATTTTGGATCTTCCGTGAGTCATGATTAGGATTAATGAAATCGAGAACAATGCCCTTCCTGTGAGATATTCCTCTTTTTCTTTTCCTAAATGTAAATAAACACAGATTGAGACCATTGAGTTTGCGGTTTGTGATAAAGTGAGAATTTCGAGCTGTTCGGACAGAATTCTTGGTCTTTGATTTCGAACTAACTTTCATAGTAGAGCTACACATCTTCATGCCATCCTTTATCATAAGCCCACGTTTTGGGTTGGAAGTTATGGCTGATTGTGACATAGGAGCAAAGGAACACCTACGACTACTCTGCTTGCTTTGGAAGGATTAGCTGGGAAGGCGGGAAGATCAACTGATATATGAGTTGCCGGTGGGAATGCAAGAATAAGGAGGAGCATCCGGAAGGCTGGCTGATAACTGTGGTTGAGAGAGAACCTGCAGGGTGCAGCTGCTCCAACATAAGGCAGCAGAAACATGTACCAGGAGTCGCATTAACCGAGGGAGGAGACCTACGGTTTGTAACCAAACTTTGATATCACAAAGAAAGGTGGAGAAAAGCATATTCTATTATTTCTTAGTAATCAAATTACAACTCTTCTCGTTATATTATAAGGAACGACTAGGACAAGATTAATTACAACAATTAAAGCTTACCAAAGAAAACATAACTCAAGAAGGAAAAAAATATGAATATAATCAAAATAGGAAACTCATAATTCCACATCTATGGTTAAAGAAAACCAAGCAATATTGTTGAATTAAATATGGTTTTATCAAAAACGCCTTTAATTC